GTCGTCGCCGTCCTCCCACCTCCCTCGTCGTTGTCGTTGCCGCCGTCGTCGTTCTCCCTCCCCCCTCGTCGTCGTCGTCTTCGTTGGCGAAGTCGTCGTCGTCGTCTTCGTCGTCGTCGTCGGCGTCGTCGTCGTCGGCGTCGTCGTCGTCGTTGTTGTCATCGTCGTTGTCGTCATCGGTGTCGTCGTCGTCGTCGTTTTCGGCGTCATCGAAGGCGTTGGAGACGTCTTCGGTGTCGCCGAAGTCGTTGTCGGCGGCGTCGTCGTCGTCGTTGTCGCTGTCGTCGTCGGCGTCGGTGTGGTTGCCAAGTGCCATTTGGTACCCACCGTCACGGTCTTACGAGCTTTCGCAAACCAAGTTGCGGGTGGGTGGGTGGGATGTTTGCACGAGGAGTGGAGTGGACAACTCATTGCGAGCAGAAATTCATTGCACCACATAGATCGCACCGCGTAGACTGCATTTCATAGGTTGCACCGCGTAGATTGCACCACATAGATTGCACCGTGTGGATTGCACCGCATAGACTGCATTGCATAGAGTGCACAGCGTAGACACCACATAAATGGCACCTTGTAAATTGCGCCGCGTAGATTGCTCTACATAGGTTGCATTTCGTAAATTGCACAACGTGGATTGCATTGCATCGACTGCATTATATAGGTTGCACCGCGTATATTGCACCACATGGATTGCACCGCATAGATTGCGCCGCGCATATTGCATTACATGAGTTGCATCGCATACGTTGCACCACATAGACTGCACCGCGTGGACTGCAATGACCTACTATTGGGGTCCACGCTGGCTACCATGTATGTATGTGTATGTGTATGTCTTATATTTACATGTGTATTTGTATACACAGATATATGCGTGTAGGTATAAGGGGTCGGACGCGCGCCTTCCAGGAGGACATATACCACTGGCATGTTTCTGTGCGCCCCAATTCGTCGCCCCCCTCCCTCAAGTGACGCCCAGCCTCTGCGGCGCCGGCACGCCGAGGCCAGGACTTCTCCCGCCGCTCGGACCAGGACCGAGAGCACACGTGGGGGCGGGGGGGCCGCCGCGGCCGGCGCTCCGGCGGCCCGGCTCGCCCTGGGAGGCCTCGCGCGGACCCCATCCCAGCACCCCACGACTTCGAAGGGGGGTTCGAAGGGCCGAGCGCGTTCCATTACTCGCAAAGTGCCCAGTCTCGGACGTCAGAAAGCACATGTTTGCCTCGATGTAATGCATTGTGAATCCCCCTGCGGCGGATCCGGGGCGCTTGCGGGTAGTTGTTTTGCGAGTTATGGAACGCGCTCGTTTACAGAAGGAGGAAAAGCGGCATTAACATACATTTTCGGCGCTCCACGTAGATTTCTTGATCCGTAGATTTCAGAAATCTGGGCGGACCGTCAAAAGTTTATGCTTATGTCGTTTTTCCTTTATCTAGGGGATCTGGGGTTCACTTCGCTCGGGAGGTCCCGAACGGAGTGAAGCCTACCTCCCCCCGTAGACTTTATAGTCTTGCCACCAGTTTAGCGATGCTGTATTTTTGCTTTCGCAGCATCGGATCTCAGTGGGAGGTGGGGGGTCCGTCGACATGGACCAGGATGAAGATCTGTTCGTGGGAATGCCCCTGGTGTCCAGGACCCGTTCCCCTGAGTTTGGAGCGACAGAAGGACGTACACGTACACGAATCCACGCTTCTTTCGAAAGTGCGTATTGCGCGAACGTTCGTAACACGAGGTTGGTCTCGCGGACTGGGGGGCCGTACTCGTGTGGGTGGTCGGGTGCCTGCGTCCTTTCTGTGGGCTCCGTACCCTCCCGCCCTTTTGGCAGCGCTCTTCTTTCTCCTCCCCGCTCCTCCCTCTCCTGCCTGCTGCTAAATCTCCTCTGTTGGACTCGGCGTGCTTCACTGCCTCGTCGGCTGCTGGGCTCTGGGCTGAAGTCGGGCATGTCCCTCTACAGGAGGGGTATTCAAAAATAGCAAAAAAATAGTATGGGGACGATTTTCGATTATTTTTGATTATGTATTAAAACATTGTTTGATTATCCTCCCAAATCCGCGTGTAGGAGGACATGTCGGAGGATCGCGCCGCATCGCCGACGCACAGACGATGCGGGTCGATGTGGAGCCCGTGTTTCCCACGCCGACATCGCCGATGCATCGCCGATACATCGTCCATGCATCGGCGATGCGGCGCGATCCTCCGACCCCATCCGCAGTCAACCCGCATAGCAGGAATGGGCAACCTTCCCAATGGTTTCCTTGCATCCTTCCTCCTCGGTCCATCCTTGGCCACTTTCGTTGGCCGCGCCCCGCTCGAACAGCTTCGGAACGGCCTTCCAAGGCCCTCGCATCCTTATCGCGCGTCCTTATGTTACGGGTTGGCTGTGCCCTGACACCATCTAGGAGGCCTCTGTGGGCTCGGGCCGCCTTCTGCGTCGGATGCAGCGTTTGCCCAGCCTTCGCTGGCCTCCTTCTCCAGCGCAGGCTGGGGCCGGCAATGCGTGGTTCAGCGATTCGGGAGGCGGTCCAAGCTGACGGTTCTGCCCTCCGAGGCTCGCGCGGCTTCATTCCGCCCCCTCGTCGTCATACACCCTCCCTTTCTCCGCTCCCCTCCCATATCCTCACGCCCCTCCGTTTCCCCCCGTCACCTCCTTACATCCTTTCCTCTCTTTTTCTCGTGTACTTGCTTCCTCCCTTCCCGTCCTTCCCCCCTCGTTTCCCTTCCCCTTCCTTAGTTTTTCTCAGTGTCATCCCTTCCCTCCCTTCCTTTTCTCTCCTGCATTCCCTGCCTACCCCTTCCTTTCCCCTTCTTCCCTCGACGTCGTCGTCCTTCTCTCCTCATCCTTCCCTCCCTCCCGCCTCCCTCCTGTCTCCCTCCCTCTCCTCCCGTGCAAGCTCTGCACCGGCCCCCCGTGCAAGCTTTGCGTCGGTGGGCTCGGCTTGCCGCGGCACACCTCCTTCCCTCTTCCAGCGCCCACCGTCCCTCCGTCCCTCCCTCCCCTCCCCATCCCTCCCCATTCGTTCCCCTCCATCCCCACTCTTCCCTGGGTGGCAGGTCCCCCGCGGTGATCCGGAACCCCTGTCCTGGCAGGCCCGTCCCGTCTCTGTCCTCTGCCCCCCCCAGGTCTCTTGGACTGGACTTGTCCTGTGTGGATCGCGTGGCCTTTCTCTGGATGGCTGCTGCGCCGTTGGGAGCGAGTCCGCCCTGGACGCCCCCTCCCCGCACGCCTCTCCGTGCTCCGGCTGGCAGCCGCCGTCTCCTCCTCCTCCTCCTCCTCCTCCTCCTCCTCCTCCTCCTCCTCCTCCTCCTCCTCCCCCTCCTCCTCCTCCTCCTCCTCCTCCTCCTCCTCCCCCTCCCCCTCCTCCTCCTCCTCCTCCTCCTCCTCCTCCTCCTCCTCCTCCTTTGCATCCCCTGGCCGCCACGCGCGCCCCGGAGCGTCGCGCGCCGTCGCCGCGGAGTTCGCTCCCGCCGCCCCCTCTCGGCAGTTCTCCTCGTGCCTGCAGCGCCAGCGCGCCGCGCGGGAGGCGCGCCTCGTGCGGGCGGGGGGCAGGGCAGCTGCGGAGGCGCGGGAGGGAGGGGGGGCCGTCCGTCACCACCCACCAAACCACCCCAACCCAACCCGAAGGCTCAGATTTACCCTCGATTTCTAGTGGGGGGGGGTCCGGGAACATCGAAAAAAACACATATGGAGCCCATACCCCCCCCCACCCGAAATTCGGGTCTTCGGGTTGGGTTGGGGTGGTCTGGTAGGTAGTCAGGGGGGCCGTCCGAGCCGCAGAGAGTCTGCGGGGAGACGGGGGGGAGCGCGCGGGCGGCCTCAGGCACCGCGAGCCCTCCTCCAGAACAAGCCGCGCTGGAAAAGCGCACGCACGCACACACGCGCACGCGCACGTACACAGACCAACACACACCAACGTACACCAATACACAACAACACACAACACACAGCACACAAGACACAATACACACACGCACGCACACACATGCACACACACGCACACGCACACGCACACCCACACACACACACAAACACCAACACAATCCAACACACAGCACAACACACACACACAACACACAACACACAACCACACGCAATCACACACACGGGCACACACACGCACACACACACGCACACAACAACACACAGCAGCATACACACACACGCACGCACACACTCACGCACACACACACCAACACACAGCACACACCAGCACACATGATCACACAACACAGAGCACGCAACACCCAACACACACACACACACATACGCACGCACGCACGCACACACGCACCATCGCACAAACACACAACAAGCACGCACACGCACCAACACACAACATACTACACATTCACGTATCCACACCAACACACGCCAACACACATACCAACACGCACACACAGACACGCAGACACACACACACACACACGCACCAATTCACACCAGCACGCACCAGCACATACGATCATACAACACACAGCACACAACACACCACACAATACAGCACAAACCAACACACACAGAGACACGCAGACACACACACACACACGCACACACACACACACACCGCACACACACACACACGCATGCACACACACACACGCACACGCACACCAACACACCGACACACACCCATACACAACACAACACGCAATAAACACACTCGCACGCACACGCACGCACACAGGCACAGACACACACACACACACACTCTGACACGCGCTCACACATGCACACGCACACGCAAACACGCACTCTCGCGCAAACACGCATGCACGCACACTCGCAAACCCGCACACACGCACACACGCACACACGCACACGCACACACGCACACACGCGCACACGCGCACGCACACACGCACACGCACACGCACAAGCACGCGCACACGCACACGAACACGCACACACGCACACACGCGCACACGCGCACACGCACACACGCGCACACGCGCACACGCACACATTTTGGCTCAAGCGTTCGCATGCCTTCTGCCCTGCCGTCCCGATGGCCTTGTGTGGGGCTAGAGGGGATTGCGCACCGCTTGCAGCCGCTGCTTCGCTGGTCGAGGCGGCGGTCCGCGGGGCGGCGCCGGCGAAAGCACCCCGCAGGACGGTTGCGGCGGTGGCGCGCGCGGCGGTATCGGCTAGCTTCTTCAAGCTGGCCGACGCGCCCGTGCCACCTGCCGCGACGCCTGCCGTGGTGCCTGTTCCCGATGGTGCGCCTGGCGCGCCGCCTGCCGTCGCAGCGCGGGAGGCGCGTCGGCGCAGTCGCCGACGTCAGGCCGAGCGTCGTCGCGCTGCTGGGGCCCCTGCGGCGGCGGCGGCGGGCGGCACGGCCGGCGGCGGCGACGACGGCGGTTCGGCAGAGGCCGCCGCGGGCGAGCTGGCGGAGGTGGGCTCCCCTGTCGCCGCGGCTGCTTGTGCAGCTGGTGCTGCGGAGGCCGTGCGCGCGGGCACGGGGCTCGTGCTGACGGCTGGAGTGGCGCCAGAGGTGCCAGGCATCGCGGCATCGGACCTCGGGTCCGACCTGGACGACGAGTAAGCGGACGGCCTCACTTCCCGCCGGCGGCGGAGGAGGCGGGGCGGCGGCAGACGTGCGTGGGCGGTGGCCCCGCGGCTGCCTCGGCGTCGGCGGCGGCGGAGTTGGTGGCGCCGCCTTCGGCGCCAGCAGCTGGCAGAGCAGGCGGCTCGGCGGCGACGCTCGACGACGTCCAGGCGCTCGCGGTGAGCATGGTCGAGCAGGCCGGAGAGGCGCCGTGGCACTCTGCGGAGGTGCGGCACGTGCTGGAGGCGTTGAGGCCCGCTGGGTTACCGCCAAATCGGCGTGAGGCGTCGGCCAACTCGGCGTGAGGCGAGCGCTCCTAGGGGAGCTGGCGGCGCGGTGCCGCGGGGCGCTGCGCCGCGCCCGTTCGCCGCTTTCGCCGTCCACGCCGCTTGGAGCTGGGGCTCGTTGGTTTGGCGGCCTCGTGCTGCTTCGCGTACAACTTGGCTGTGCACGTTCACTCACAACAAAAAACGCACACGCGGACACGCACGCGCACACGCACACGCACACACACGCACACACACACACGCACACGCGCACACATACGCATGGCACACACACGCACGCACACACACACGCACACACACACACTTACAGACACACAGACACACAGACACAGGCACAGACACAGACAGAGACAGAGACACAGACGCAGGCACAGACACCAGACACACGCACACACCGACACCGACACGCGCACACACAAGCACACAACACACAGACACACACATACACACACAGACAACTCACGCGCACGACCCCGCGCACACGCACACACACACACACACACACGCGCACGCGCACACATGTACCCATACATGCACACACACACACACAAACACACGCACGCACACACATTCATCATGGACGCCTTGTATGCTTGCGTAATTCCAAGGCTGCGTGAGCGTCGACTAGTGTCTGGTAATCGATGACGTGGCGCCGATTCAGCGTCGATCTGGCGTCGATTAGTGTCCATGCACAAGAGCCAGCAGCTCGGTATGGGAGGCTCCCGCGAGTTGCAACAAAACGCTCTGGCTGTGGGCTGGCTCGGTCGGGGCGGGGATGTCGTTGAGCTGGCTCGCACAGAGCTTTCGCGTCCCCGGAAGTCCGCGCAGGTTTTTTAAAGGTTTCCAACAAAGACTCGCGCAGACCTCCAGACGCCCCCGGAGGCTTTCGGAGGCCCCCAGGATCCTCGATCTTCCCTTGACCTCTCGTCTCGGACTCCGCCCCGCCAGGCCGAATGACGACACGATCACGCGAATCGTGCTGCTGTACCACACTTGTAATTACATACCGCCACGATCTCCGCGGCAGCGCGCGCGGAACCTTCGGCGACGCTCGCGTGGACCTGCAGCCCTCAGGTCCGCGCGCGTGTAGCTAGCGCTCACCTCGCCTCGCGCCGGGTCTCGTGCAGGTGTGTAGCCGCCGCACCCGTGCGCAGGCCACGCCGAGCAGAAGAAACTAAGCCTTGGACGGCCCCCCGTGGCGCACGAGGCCTACTCCTCGCGGGTTGCGGACGCCGCCGAGGGATTCGGGGGGACGCATACTGTACTCCCAGCCGTCCAGGGGATGTACCCCGTGTGGGCGTCGCGGGGCTACGGCTCCTGGGTCAGGTGTCTGCGCGTCGTCTCACAGGGTGTGTGCCTTGGGCCTCTGGATTGGCCGAAAAGCTCCAAGGAGAGACCCTTGATCCTGAAGCCTTCGACCCTCTTCTCGTTTCTGCCCGGCCCCGAAGGCTTCGATCCCCCTCCCCGGTCCCGCTCGCCCTCGCGCGGCTTTCGCGCGCCCGCAGCGCGAAGGACGCGGAGGTGAGGCGGATGGCGCGCGCGGACGCCGCCCTCAAGAAGCACATGGCCGCGTTTGTCAGGGTGTGGCGGGAGCGGCGGCGGCAGGACAGCCGGCGGGCGAACCGGGAGCTGCTTCCCCTCCTGCTGCCCCTCCTCCTCCTCCTCCTTCTCCTCCTCCTCCTCCTCCTCCTCCTCCTCCTCCTCCTCCTCCCCTTCCTCCTCCTCCCTCCCTCTCCCTCCTTCCTCCTCCTCCTCCTCCTCCCTTTCCTCCTCCTCCTCTCCTCCTCTTCCTCCTCCCCCTCCTCCTCCTCCTCCTCCTCCTCCTCCTCCTCCTCCTCCGCCTGCTCCTCCTCCTACTTTGAGGAGGATACAGTACCCATAGCGCTTCCTTTCCTTGATTTTCCATTTTTGGGCCTCCTGGGAGGCCCTCGTCGCCACCACTGGATTCGCCTCCGAGTTCTGGTCAGAACGTCCCCGGGAGAGGTCCGGGGAGCAGCGTTATCGGTGTTCTCTGGTTTCTCCACATCCCCCTTCTCCGCGCCCCTTTCTTCTGTGCTCTTTCTCCTCCCACCCAGCCTCATGCTCGTTATGTTGCTCCTACCCTTTCTTCTTCTTCTTCTTCTTCTTATTATTATTCTTATTATTCTTCTTCTTCTTCTTATTTTTTATTTTCGTTATTATCATTATTGTTCTTTATCTCATTATTATTAATAGTCTTATGTTTGTTAGTGTTATTAATATTAGTCTTATTACTAGTATTCTTATTACTAATAGTCTTATTATTCATATCATTATTATTATTATTATTCTCCTCCTCCTCCGCCTTATCCTCATTCTCCTCCTCCTGCGACGTCGTGTGCGTGCTGCGTGTAGGCATACAGGTAGAGCCATTGGCATGCACCAGGCCTGTCAGATCGTATCGTTTCCCAGAGCATGCTCACCAGGTTTCCCACCCGGTCCGCTCAGCCTCGGGGGCATCTCTCATCCCGTTTTTGTTCAGCTCAGCCGCAGATCTTCGAGGTGGAGGTGCCCATGCTTGGACAATCGTGGAATATGGTTACCCCATGTCACCCCTGAGATTTGGCACGTCGAGGCTTGAGCACAGCGACGTGAATGGATATAGGCTTGGTCGCCCTCACTGGATCGCCACAAATCACCAGAAAAAGGTGAAGGGAGGAGCGAGCGCGGTTGTTGGTGGTGCGTTGGGGCCCAGCTGTGCGTGCGACGGAGAATGAGGAATGAGGTGCCACAGCACGCCTACACTTGATGAGAGTGTATTGGGGAGGGGTTTCCGTGCTGAGGTGCGACCGCAGAGATATGATTTGGGATCCCCCCAGGAGAGCATGGTGGCCTGGGAACGCCAAATACCATCCAATGCAAGCGGGAGGCCAACGTTTGATGATCAGGGGATGAGGGACGGGGCGCGACCCAGCGAGAAAAATGAGGAGAAGGAGGAGGAGGAGGCGGATGAGGCGGAGGAGGAGGAGGCGGAGGAGGAGGAGGAGGAGGAATTACAGGAATTACAGCCTTCGCGTAGCGAAATTAATAACAATCCGCTGCTCAAGCCATTGCTCGAGGCTCAGATCACTTGCACTTCGGAAACTCGTCACGACGAATTCTATCACGACACTCTTGACGAGTCTTGGAAATTGGTAGCTTGCAAACGGTACCTAATCCTCTGAGTTGGGATTGTCCGAAGTAGCCGCATGCATTGCAATACCATATTCCTAACGAGTGGCGATACATTAGGGCGTGTGAGGGGTGGGCCCAACCTCCAGCGATATGCATACGACACCCCTTTTTCACCCGAGATACACCCTACCACCCATGGAATCTCAAGCGTTGCAATCACTTTTTAGCCATTCGGACAAGGTGGCTAAGGTCGCAGACCCGTGACACACCGAACAAGAGTTACCGCTTTCAGTAAGGGTGCGTGCCGTCGCGAAGCGTGCAATTACAGACAGAGCGGGAGGAGGCGGCAGCAGCGGAGGACGAAGGGGAGGTGGAGGGACACAATCACCTTCGGCGGCCTGACAGGCGGTCCATGCTGCACGCTTGTCCGCTGCAGCTGCCGCCTTCTTCTCGGCCTCACATTGCATTGAACACAGCCCTACCCGCAACAGACGACGCCGCACGTGCAGGGCGTTTTTCCCCACCATCATCACCTTGTGCCTCTCATCAGCTGGTACTCGCGCAGCGTCCGCCGCAACGCCAGATAAATGGTTAACTGCTTCATTGCTTTGGACCATCCAACTGGGGAGCTGTTTGGTACACACCTCCTCTGCATTCAAATGGGATGGGATCGGCATAACGATGATATCGGATGGTGGCCGTCGCTGCTCCTCTCAGCACCGTCCAATTAGCCTCCCCATCCCAGCATGACGCCCAGCGGGGTGACAATATAGCTGCGACCACCATCCTCTGCAAATTTCCGAACAATCGGTGGCGAAAATCAAAACTCCAGTTGAGCAACGGATGGCGAGCTCAAGGGCCGTGAGCTCGCTTTTGGGGCACAGTCCGAACCCCTCCCGCCAGAGGCCCCAGGAGATACGGGCCCATCGTGAAGGGCGTAAAGCTAGTGATCACACAATCTGCCAAACCCACCCGTCGCAGCCGAACGTCGAGAGTGTCTGGACCTCCAGACGCATCTCCGAAGGCGTACACTGGACAATCCGAGGTGCCGTGACCTAAGCTGGTATGACCTTCACAATGATTGCCGCTTGTCCAAGCTTCTACCGACCACCCTTCGGGTGATAAGGAGGTTCGGGGGGGGGGGGAGAAACCATCGTCTCACTCGATCGGTCTCACTATCGATCTCACTATCGATCTCAGTATCGGTCTCGCTCGATCGATCTCCCTCGATCGTGCTCACAATCGATCTCACTCGATATATCTCACAATTGATCTGACTATCGATCTCACAAACGATCTCACAATCGATCTCACAATCGATATCACATTCGGTCTCACTATCGATCTCACTATCGATATCACATCCGCTCTCACAATCAACGTCATCATCATCAACAACAACATCATCATCAACATCATCATCACCAACATCATCATAATCGGGACACCGTCCTCATCATCAACACCAACATCATCATCATCATCACGGGCATCAACATCATCGGGACACCACCATCGTCATCATCATCAGCACCATCATCACAGTCATCATCATCCACATCATCATCATCAGCAGCATCGGGACACAGTCATCGTCATCATCATCATCATCAGCAGCAGCATCATCATCGGGACACCATCATGATCACTATCGTTATCATCATCATCATCATCATCATCATCATCATCATCATCATCATCGGGACACCATCATCATCATCATCATCTCATCCTCATCATCGACATCATCAGCATCAACATCATCAACATCATCATCAGCATCATCATCGTCATCATCGGGGCACCATCATTATCAACATCAGCATCAACATCATCATCGTCACCATCGGGATGCCATCATCATCAACATCATCATCATCACCATCATCATCACCATCAGAATAATCATCATCATCGGGACGCCATAATCATCATCAACCTCATCATCATCAACATCATCATCATCGGGACACGATCATAATCAGCATCATCAACATCAACATCATCATACTCATCATCATCGGGACAACATCATCGTCATCATCATGATCATCAACATAATCATCGTGATCATCATCATCCTCATCATCGGGACACCATCAGCATCATCATCAGTATCGTCATCATCAGTATCGTCATCATCATCATCATCATCGGGACACCATCATCATATCATCATCATCATCGTCCTCATCATCATCAGCATCATCATCATCAGCATCATCATCATCGTCATCATCATCATCAGCAGCATCATCATCATCAACATCACCATCATCATCATCATCATCATTATCATCATCATCATCATCATCATCATCATTATCCTCATCCTCTCATCATCACCATCATCATCATCATCATCATCATCATCATCATCATCATCATCATCATCATCATCATCATCATCGCGGGACACCGCGGGACACCGGCGGGACACCGCGGGGCACCGCGGGACACCGCGGGACACCGCGGGACACCGGCGGGACACCGGCGGGACACCGCGGGCCACCGGCCGCCCGGAAGGGGGGAGTCATTTGGTCCGGCCGCGCCTCAGCCACACGGGACACCAGCGGGACACCGGCGGGACACCGCGCGCCACCGGCCGCCCGGCGGAGAATCATTTGGTCCGGCCGCGCCTCAGCCACAGGAGACTTTCCTCTCGCCCGCCCACGCAGCTTCGCCTCGCCCGCACGGCACGCACGAACACGAAACCGAAATCGATTTCCCGGTAGGGGGGCTCTCCGTTCCACTTCGATCTCACCCCCCAACCTCCGACAGTACTAGATGGCGACACTCGAGTCCACTTAGAGGGTCTGATGCCACGGTTTCAGAATCAATAATATATGCATCATGATCTGCAACTGCCTCTGGAATGAGATATTATGATTGCTCAAGCGCCTCGCCACCGCGATTGCACTTGCACAGCCAGTTACTGTGGACGTCGGACTCGGGAGCCTCAGAACATCTGTCACAGATGTCGCTGGTGCCAGTGTTGGCGCTGAACTTGCGCGCGTTCGTCCACGCACCTCCAACCGCGATATACACCATAAGCTCAGCTACCTTCCGTCCTTTGTGTGCATGGTGGAGGCTATCAATGAGACGTCGCAAACTGATCAAGTCTGCGCCCTCATCTTAACCACTACCGCAGTGTAGATCAGCAGTTTCACGCCACTGCCGCAGAGCCAAAGACCGTTCAAACTCGCGAAGTAAGTCATCTGCCTGATCCACCGCGCACAACGCCTCATCATCGAATTTCCACGCGCGAAGCCCTTGTCTGTCGTCACTCGGAAGATTCCACTCTGACGGAGATATTGGATTACAGCCGGCCTGCAGAAGATATGCAACAATTGTCGACGCTGGTCCGCGAACATGTCTTGACTTATGAGCCTCAGGTAGCTGTCGAAACTGCTGGACTATCTGAGGCCATGCCCTGTGCACTCCTGTTCGGATCGACGGTTCTGTGATCCACACCTGCAGCCACTGAGTCAGACGATGGCGGGGAAGAACGATGCTCGGGTCCGCCTGTGCAGCGCGTAGCCCAGTCAGTGTGGCAACGCGCCGACCACGCCGAGCTGCTGCTCGCGCTGCCCCAGGCCATCGCCGCTGAAATTCCACAGCGCTCCCAGACCTGCCGTATAGTTGGTGACCGTAGGTCGCCACAGCCTGAGGCCCCGCTCGTTCCAGGCGGGACGTGATCTCACACCGTCGCGTTGCCGCAACCACGCGGCGTAACTTCTTATGCTGATGCCCTCCTTTGACCACTCGTTTCCGAGCTGTCTCATGGGCATGCCGATCGCCCCTGCCCATAGCTACTCCAAACTATGCCGTTTGAAGGGCTGCAGTGATGCGTGTATCCCGACAACGAAGCACGCGGGCCACCGTGTTGGCATCGGCGTGCGAAGAGCAGGTCATGGCACTCTCAGCTGCGATGCTGAGCGATACCTTCCGAAACTCGGCGACCTCGTCGGTGATGCTCTCGGCGAGGTCACGCCTGACCCGGCCCGAGAGCCCGCCGTCTCCTGCGCCAATTCGTCGGTCCAGATCCGCTGAGACGCCCGTGGACGTGCAATGCGCAGCTCCTGCAGCACAGAATATGCTGCTTCCAGAGGTCAGGAAACCAAATATTGATAGCAGCAACCATTCTAGACAAGATCCGCACATGAGTGGTGGCACAGCACCAACCACCGTCCCGATGGGGGGTTCAGTGCATGCAGATGCCATCCCTTTGAGCAGTCTCTCGGCAGCGTCCAGAGAAGTCCAAGTATGCGTTGGGTCCACTGCCGGGAAAGCTTGGGCTTCTCGGAACAGGGATCCTCTTCCAGATGCTATTTTGTGACTGGACATCGTAGGGTGGACCATCGAGTCCCCTGCTATCCTCGTCACGAATGCTGGACAGAAGCTCGTACTAACTGAAGTGCCACCGGCTAGGGTAGTACAGTACTGAGTCCAAGAGCTTTCGGCCACCAAGCTAGCTGAACATTGTAACGAGAAGCTTGCATCCGTGACCCGCCCAATTGCCAACCATATTCGGGCAGAAGGCGCATGGGCGTTTGCTGTGAAGAAGGCCTTCGATTCTAAAGAGTTGGAGGGCAGTGGACACCTGTTGAAACATATTTCTTCATGTTCGGCCCCCACTGAGGCCAACCTCAGCAAAGGAGGCGATCACGTCCCTGCTAAAAATGTGTTTTCTGCGGCCAAACCGATTCGGCTTTTCATCGGACCTGGGAGTGTCCATGTGGACAAGAGCAAAGAGCGAACGTTGTTGCCCCGTCTCTAGTTCAGGATGCCCTGGAAACTGGGCCAGACCATCCGTTATATAGTTATGTTTGGCAGCTTCTCCCCACGTTGGACCCAGTCAGCCCAGACTGGGACCTCAGATTTGTGGGCCCAGGCACGACGCATATTGATCCGTGTAGCTTCCCCACGCACGGTGTGACTTTCACGGACGGTGGGCGTGGCCGCCCAACCAATCCAGATCTGGCGAGGGCTGGGGTGGCGGCAGTTCAGATTGATGAAGCAGGCAATGCCATTCGTGCCATGTTTGCCCCACCCCTCGAGATTTCCCTCAGACCAGTGGCGATGCAGAGCATACAGCAGTGTCGTTAGCCATCATCAGGTTGGACCGGCCAGCTGAAACAATGACGTACCATGGTTGCATTGCATTAGATTTGATTTCTTCTTGGCCTGAGAAAGCGCTTGCTTGGGGGAATCCTCGCTCGCAGTACTGGCGCGCACCATCGCATGAGTTAGCCCAGAGTGATTGGCTAATTTGTTTCAAGGTCGAGGCCCGCAGAAATCTAAGTAGTGCTGAAGATGACGTCGACCGTCTCGCGATCCAAGGGAGCGCCCTCGCGGGCCACTTTGCTGGACTTGCCTCGAGGGCTCATGGGCACCCGCCAGCAACAGTTGAGGTCTACCAGCAAGGTCGTGCAGAATACTGTAACCGAAGCCGCGGGGGCTTTCCATATTCTAAGCGCTTGGCCACCGCTAAAGGCTTTGTAGAACAAGCTGCCCCGCGCTAAACGTACGAAAGCCGTTGGGGCAGAGCTTCCTCACACTTTCCCGTCTTGGATGGAGTGGCCTACAGATGCACTAGATGCCTCAGAGTGTGCTCGCCAGCGAGCACGTTCGCATGTGATGCCCCGGCCCCCGCTATACAGTCCCTCCTCTCGTCAGGAGGGGGCCGGGGGCACTGACTCTCCGGGGCAAGAATACTTAGCAGCGATCACCCAGTCATCTATTGCAATGAGCGTGGTTGTTTTGCACCCCGCAAGGCCTCGGGACTCTTGCCCCCCTGCGCAAGACCGCGCAGATCCAGCGAGCCGTCAAAGCTACGCAGAGGTGTTGTTCCAGGAACGACCCTCAGGCACGGGGCTCCGTTTCCCCTCCTTCCCGTCCTTTCATCCTTGTCCCTTGGCGCCACGCCTCCCAGTCGCCCTGCGGCCCACAGTGAGCTGCAGACGCATGACTGCAGAGGGGAGGAGCGGTGCGAGCGCCATTGTCTGACTCATCAGCCTCAGGTTTCGGCTGACATGCGTGTCACTTTCATTAACAGCTGCCTTCAGCCAGCCGCCCCTGGTCGACCCGGGGCTTTCCAGGCCCAGCAGTCTCCGTCGGCATGGGGTTAAGGAGTGTCGAGGAGGGATGTCAAGGAGATCTGCTGAGGCCTCTCTCCCTGCAGGTGAATCGTGTAGTGGCTGCGCCTTGGCTCGGCCGCGTGGTCACCCGACGAGTCTTGAAGGTCTTGAAGAAGGGGCGGCGGGGCGGAGGGAGGGTGAAAGGCGGGCGCCCTCGAGGGCGCGAAGTTGTTCGCGCTCCACGCTTCGCGGTTCGGCTCCGATTCCTCATCCCCCTTTTCTCCCATGGGGGGGCGGCGCGAGAGAGCGCCTCGCGCGGCGCGAGGCGCGAGGCGCGAGGCGCGAAGCTTGGCGCCCTTGGTGCGAGAGAGGGCGAGAGGAGGGGGAGGGGCGCGGCCGCTTCCGCCCCTCTCCCCCGTGCGTGCATCCGGTTGCTCCTATTTTTCCGCGGCGGGCTTTTTTTTTATTGGGGGGGGGGTCCCCCAACTGCGAATTCTCTTGCCGATCGGCGCGGGCCCTCGCGTCCCCCCCCCCCCCCGTGGAGTAGATCTTGGCTGTTTTTGGCGCCCGTCGAGCAGGTGGAGTCTCCCCCACAGGGCGCACGGTCCCAAACAGACGCCCTGAGCAAAAGTCCGGAGCCAGACACCCCCCCCTTCCGCCCAAGATCGAAACGCCGAGTAATACAAAGACTCACATGCGTGGGCCCCGGAGGTCCAGGCAACTTCGCCATGGCCGGTTTTTCGTCCCGGGCCATGTTTTTGACGGTCCCGAGGCCCGGCGAGGGCCCCAGGAGGCCGAAATCAGCCCCAGACCGCCCGCTCCAACTTTTTTTTCGGAGCGTCGAATCTCTGGGCCCGGGCTGAGCGGTGCCGTCGTCTCACCGAGCTCCCCCCCCCCCGCGCCCCCCTGGGCCGAGGCGGGCGGCGCCGGGCACCTGGCGATCGTGGGCGCGAGGACCCCGAAGCAGGACAGCCGGGCGGGAGCACAAGGAACCCGGACGACACGCCGGCAGGCTCCTCGGGGCGCGGAGTCGGGTCGGGGGTGGACAGAACCCCCAACAGTGACACGTCGATTAGTGAATTGTCCGTTTTCGGTTCTCGAGAGGGCGCCGTGGCCGTTATTTTCCAGGCTTGCGCCCGCCAGGTTTGGGCCTCAGGTCGTTTTCACTAAACCACGTTTTACTAAAGGGGGGTCTGTCCGGGGCTCGAGGGGCGGGGGTCCACGCAAGCAGGGTTCACTCAGAGCGCTGGATCTTGCAGGATCCTGAGGGGCCAGGGTCACACTGACCCCGGGCGTGGCGCAGGGTCCTGCAGGATGCGGGGGCCCCCGACCGGGGCGGTGACTGCACCGTGCGGTGAGTCGGTGGGGATTCGGGGTTTTGGAACTTAGTCAGAGCGTGAATTACCTACCCCGCTTTCGCTTCCAGGCAAAACCAAGCCATACCACGCGCCTCCTCGTCAAGCGGTCTGATCAGTACAGGCTGCAATTTGGCATCGTTTGGTATCTCTTGGAAGCGAGGGTGGTCAAAAGCGAGGGAGGTTTGTTTTCCCCCTACTTAGGTCGCTTTCCGAGAGTGCCTCGGGCGACTGGGGCCTCCGAGGTCGCAACACCGTGTGGTGACGGACGCTGCGGTGAGGCCTCTGTGGATTTCGAGGTCACCGCCAGGTCCGTCACCACACGGTTTTGTGACCCCCGAGAGATCTAGCACGATCCTGGAAAGCTTGACTGACCCGAGTTGGCATTGACCCGGGTCGGTGAGTTTCAGGAGGAGAAAAACACACAGACACAATTAATCGTCGATACCCTAGAAAATATGGGAAAGTATGGGCAGTGGGGGGGAAGACAGAAACCCAGAAACTATATGAACATACGGGGAACCTTTTTATGTGTGTGTGTATTTATTTGTGTGTCCCAGGGCCCCTTCAGAGCTCCCGACGGAGGAGAACGCTGTCGAGGCCTTCGCCCGACCCTCACGGGTGCGCGTGGCAGACCGCACCCTTTGCAGGCCACGCCTTGCGGAGTCGCCGAGCTGTCAGTGTTCGCGCACCGACCCCCCGCCGTGCTCCCGAGGGGGGCGGGTCTGGCGGGTCGGCGCGATCCACCGCCCGCTGGACGTCGGTTCACCTCGCATGCTTTCGGTAGCAAATCCTCCTCTTCCCATTCCCATCCTCCTCCTCCTCCTCCTCCTCCTCCTCCTCCTCCTCTCCCTCCTCCTCCTCCTCCTCCTCCTCCTCCTCCTCCTCCTCCTCCTTCTCCCCCTCCTCCTCCCCCCCCCCCGTCTGGGTTGATGGTTTCTGTGCGATTGGGCGCATGGACGCCTGGTGTGCCCTCTTAATTGCGTCTTTAGCGTCGACTGGCGTCGATTAGGCGTCTGGGAATCGATGAAGCAGCGCAAATTTAGCGTCGGGTATAGCGTCGATCAACGTCGATGTTAGCGTGGATTAGCGTTGATTTAGCGTCGATCAGCTTCGATTCGCAAGAGTCGAGAAGATGCTATGAAAGGCTCCCATGAGTTACACCGAACATGCTACTCCTTCGCTGTTGTTCTCCCGAGGCCTGGTGTTTTGTGTCAGCGGTCACAGGCTGATATGGCTTCGGAGGCCCAGGCTGACTGTGTGAAGCAGTGCCTTCGCGTGGGCCGGGCACGCCGAGAGGCAGATGGGTGCTCCCTGACCGAACCACTGCTGCAGAGGGGCCTCGGGGTGCAAGGATTGGAGAGGCCTTGCGGCCAGCGCCGCCGATCCTGAACGACGACGACGACGACGACGACGATGCTGACGTGGGTTAGAGTCCTCAGGGATGCTTCTTGGGGTCTCTTCGGAGCGCTCTCGGGTGCCTCTTGGGGGGTAATTTTTGGGCCTCTTGAGAGCCTCTTGGGGCCCTGTTGGGATGCTCCTGAGGGCCTCTTGGGGCTTCCCGGGCGCATCTTGAGGTTTTCTTGGGGGCGTCTTGGGGGCTTCTTGGCGCTTCTGGGGGGCCTCTCAGGCAGAGGGCTCGAAATGTCCGTTCGGGTCCTCCGTCTGGGCACACTCTTGGAGCCGTCTCGGGGGCCTCCTGGGCCGTCTTGGCGGCAAGGAGTTCTCGTATGTACAGCTCTGCTCAGGAAGCTCCCCTCTGACCGCCTCGCGAAAACAACCTTCAATAACTAAGCCAGCGTGAATTGGGGAGTGGGAGGGAGGGGGAGCGAGTGGGAGGGGGGGGAGGGAGGGGGAGGGATGGGGGAGGGAGGGGGAGGGAGGGAGGGAGGGAGGGGGGGGGGGGGGGGGGAGGGGGAGGGAGGGGGAGGGAGGCCCCCCCCCCTTCAAGCCAAACAGCAGTAGCACGCTGTTGGCTTCCCCACGGCGGCGCGTGTCCTCGACGCTGCGCTCGCTCTCCCCCGAGGACGTGCAGAACCCGCACTGCACCCTGTCCGTGGTGGGCGCCCGGAGCCTCAAGACTGATGGGCCTGGTCTCTACCACCACCACCAACAGAAGTTGGAGGGGGAGGAGGAGGTGGAGGAGGTGGAGGAGGAGGAGGAGAGGAGGAGGAGGAGGAGGAAGAGGAGGAGGTGGAGGAGGAAGAAGCGCATACGATGGAGGGGGAGGGGGCCCTCTTCCTCCTCCTCCTCTTCCACTTCCCCCTCCTCCACTTCCTCCTCCTCTTCCTCTTCCTCCTCCTCCTCTTCCTCCTCCTCCTTCTCCTCGTCCTCCACCTCCTCCTCCCCCTCCAACTTGTGGTGGTGGTGGTGGTGGTGGAAAACAGGCCCATCAAAGACTACGGTCACGATCGGCGGCGACGAGACGGAGCCCGCCGCGGAGGCGAGGAGGCGGGTCTGCGTGCAGGCCGGCGACGCCGTCGAGCTGGAGGTGTGGGACAGGGACCGTCCCCGCAGGGGTGTTCGCGGTTCGGTCGGTTCGGCCGCGGTCGGTTGCGTTCGGTCGGGTTCGCCCATTTCGGGAGGAGGAGGAGGAGGAGGAGGAGGAGGAAAAGGTGCCCATGCCGATTTCGGTAGGTTTCGCTTTCGCTGTCGGTTCGATCGGTCTTCGGCGTTGCTGTCGCCGTGCACGGTCTGGCCCGCAGGGGCAAGGTCGGAGGTGGGGGGGTTCGGGGGAGAGGCATCGACCCGCAATCGCCCCTTCCCATCTCGCCCAGGAACGTGCGGACTTGCCCTCGGGGGCCTGTCGCCGATCTATCGGCGGTGCCTCGCCGAATCCAGGTCGATGCTTCCCCCCCTCAGCCAGCCCCCTCCCCCCCCCCCCCAACGCTGCCCCTCACGCCCCCTGGCTCTGGGATCTCAGCCGCCCCGCGCTCGGTGCCGAGGAGGTTGCGGGCCCCCTGGACTCGCCCTCGCCGTTGTGGACCTCCTGGCATGCCCTCGTCGCCACGGCTGCACTCCCCTTGGGAGTCCTGGCCAGAGCGCACCTTGGGGAGATGCCCGGGGGGCAGCGGCATCTCTGCCTCGTGGTGCCCCGCGGCCCCAGGACCAGCAGGGCCGGAAGGCCGAGGTGCTGGGCAAGGCCACCCTGAGGCCGATGGCTCGCGGGCGGAAGGGGAGGAGGAGGAAAAGGAGGAGGAGGAGGAGGAGGACTGGGGAGGAGGAGGAGGAGGAGGAGGAGGAGGAGGAGGAGGAGGAGGAGGAGGAGGAGGAGGAGGAGGGGGAGGACCCAAGGGAATGGGCTCCCCTTCGTCTCGATTACGATGCTGCTCGATTTCTTTTTTGGCTGGGACGCTTGAAGAGTAGGGCCCACGCACAGGGACAGGGGGGATCGATAACGACGACGACGACTCAAACGGAAAAGCCCCTCACACACGCCGACAGCGTCGGCGGACGTCTTCTGAGCCCCCGATCAGCTGACAAATATTATTGCATGTGGGTGTAGACGCTTTTTTGGAGACCATCCTGGGGCCCATCTGACAGATCTAGTTCGACTTTAGTTCGACTCAAGTTCGACTCGCCTTTGAGACTCAAGTTCGGTTCAAGTCGACCGACGTTCGACGCAGCATTGACGCAGGGTCGTGGTTGGTTTGAAGCGCTTCTGCACTTGCGTCGGATTTCGTCCCCAGGCGCTTTGTTCTGCGCCACCTGGGTTCGGGGCTCTCCAGATGGTCTAACATGCAGTGCGATGCCAGGATTGTCCAGAACCAGAACGGCGGTTAGATGCTGAAGAGAGGCGTGGCTTGCTGCTCACAAGCGATCGCGGCATACATTCATCAACCATTGGTTTCGTATAGAACGGCGAAGGAAGCGAAGGGCTGATTGCTTACACCGTTTAGTGGTGGATGATGCGACCGATTCTCTCGGAGGCAGAAAAGGTGGATGCTGCGAACATCGGATATGATAGCTTTGGATGATGAGAGGACACATATGGACATGATGCTATTCACATGTGTCAGCCCCATTTTGCAGATCAAGTCTAGAAGGAGTGGCTTCAGAGAACCCTGAGAGCAAGTCTGATCACCTGGATGCTTCTACTCGGCTACTCCAGGGGGGAGCAGCTCAGGTCGCCAGGACGCTTCGTTTTCCCCTCATCCTCTGCCGCGTCCTCTGCCTCCAGCGCCTCTTCCTTGCAGCTCGTCGTCGTCGTCGCCGTCGTCGTCGTGGCCGTGGTCGTCGTCGCCGTCGTCGTCGTCGTCGTCGTCGTCGTCGTTGTCATCGTGGTGGTGGTGGTGGTCGTCGTCTGGAACGCCTCCGAAGTGCCAGGGGCTTTGGGGGGAGGGGGACTCGGCCCGTGATACAGTGGAGGCCCATGCCAAGAAACACCCTGCTTGCCTCCAGGGTGCCCTTGGTTTCCTGGGTTTCGATGGTTTTGCCATGGAAAGCGTGACGCTCCCACACCAACAATCAATGGACGTCCTGGGGTTCCAGGGTTGGGTTTCTTGTGGAAGGTTTCTTGTTGATCGGCCCCCAGTGCACCTCCCTGCCGCGAGGGGCCGCCCTCCCTGAGGTCCGTCGCTGCGAGCAAACGTGCAACACCGCCTGGCAAGGTCAGGGCCCGAGCCCTACTGGGGGCCTTACCGGTCTGTGACGGCCCCCCTTGCCCGAAGCCCAGCGGACGCGTCCGGTGTGACGGGCGTGTCGGGCATCGGGAGAACGCCCACCCACACGGGTGTTGTTTCAACAGGGCATTGGGATTGGACTCTGCCGGTGCAGTCCCCGGTCGTTTCTCTGCCAATCGACGCGCGTTTCCCCTGACGCATTCGGCTGTTGGTGGACGTCGGTTTAGCTACCCCGCTGGGGTGCACTCGGCATGCGGTGCTGTGCGCACGTGGAGTGCCCCTGGCAGCATTCACTGAATGGCGCTTTGCGAAAGGGGGTTCTGCCCACCCCCAGGAGTAGGTACAGATGCAGACACATCGAGTCGTCGGTTCCCATGCAAACATAGAACATCTGGGAAGTGGACGGGAAGACGAACATCCAGAAGATAAGAGACATCCTGGATCTTTGTCTGTTTCTTTGTCTATTTCTTTATGGCGGAGAATCCTGGATTCTGGTTCTTTGTTTATTTCTGGAGTGGAGGAGAATCCTGGAACATCCAGTGAAGGAGAGTCCTGGATCTTTGTCTATTTCTCTGTGTGCCCCTGGGCCCCTTCACAAACGCCTGGAGCTCGGGGCCCTCCACTCCCTCCTTCCTCCCTCCTCCCCCCTCCGCCCTCCCCCCTCCCCCTCCTCCTCCTCCTCCTCCTCCTCCTCCTCCTCCTCCTCCTCCTCCTCCAGCTGCCCCTTTCCATCGAGAGATCTCAGGCAGCTGAAACGGTCGACACCCCCAAAGGACCCCTCATTTCACTTCCCAGCTTGATGGCATGAGCGGGCTCAGCCATGGGAGCGGCGGCTGTTGGCGATGTCTGCGGGCGGTGACCTACAACCCGCTCACCCTCTCCGCCCCCGCCAGGGTTTTCGACGTCTCCGCGGAGTACCAGGGCGTAGACTTCCTCATGCTCCAGGGCACCAGGTCAGGAGTCGCGGCCAGCCGAGCAGGCAGGCAACCAAGGATCACATCTTTATTCATTCAGGCCTTGGCAAAGGCAGTAACCATGCATGTGGAGTGGCAGTGGCACTTCATCGGCACAGAAATGCAGAGCAGCACATCGTCAAGGTAGTCGAGGGCAAGAACTGACTCCAGGGCATAGCTCTTCTGGTTCGCTACAAGAGTGGACGAAAGGACTTTGCCACTGCTTCTCTTTATTATCCGACGAGAGGCAATGGAAGAGGAGCGGTAGCAGAGCAGAAGTCCGTTGTTTCAGAGCTCACAACATGATTTCATGATCAACTCCGTTCATTACCAGCGCTTTGTTTTCCACTGATTGGGGCGGATATCAATTCATCTTGTGGCATGGATGGGGACGGTCCACCAGTTACTGGCCACTACAGTGCAGATGTAGAAGGACCGAACTTCCGCAACGTGAAGCCGATTCTGCAAGCACACGACTTGCTTTTGGCTAATACATATCTTGATGCAGGCGCGGCGTTTTATGGAATTTCATGTCAGGTGGTGAAGCGAATAGTTTGTTTGGCTTGCCCACGGGGGTTACTTGAACATTTCCATGAATGCTTTGTCTTCGTGAATATAGGGCGCAGGCTACAGCGCTTCAGAAGTCATGCTCCAAAAGAGCAGTTTCCGCTCTGCACCTCCTTCTGGCACACCTTCGAACATCACCAGGGCCACCAACTGCTGCATTGCAACAAGGAGGCCTGCACTGCATTATTGCTATATGGGGCGGGACGGGAACGGTTTGTGACAGCGGTGCAGGAGCGCCTGGCACAATGCAGGGGCCAATGCACAGCTTGGGCGTGTGACGGGGATGTGGTCCAGATCAACGCAGGGCTGATGCAAGTGGCCCAGGAGACAGCAGCGGACTGTCTGTGCGAGGCCCCAGGCTATGTGGAGAAGCGTGATCACACCTTCGCGCCGAGCCAGCAGCCTCAGGTGCTACCTGCAGCAAGGAGGCAGGCGAAGGACATGGAGGTGGAGTTCCCCGAGGAGCAGCTGAATAAGTACATGCCGATTTTACTCCAGCAGCTGAGCGAGGCTCGTACTGAAGGGCTCTGGGATGCGTGGCGGTGTCGTCGGTTCTACGATGTCCGCGAGATTGCGAGGCTGCTGGCGGGTACTTTCAGGGGGCCACGGGCTAGATTGCACAATCGGGTAGCGAACGCGACGGCGTCGGTGGCCGACTGGATACCACGCTCTCAATCTCCTGGGGTGGAAGGCGGCGCCCAGGCGCAGCTGTTGGCGCAGAGCGAGGCACCGCATGATACGACAGGCTTCGGGGGACTACCCTTTGCTGGGCCAGATGGCGTGGAGCGCAGTCAATTACAAGCGCCGTCACATTTGGAATGGATCAATCAGGTGGGCACCGATAACATGGACTTTTCTGCTATGCATGAGGACGCACTGATCGTGGTTGCTCGGCTGAAGAAGAGCTTGAAGAAGCTTCCTTCGTGGCTAGTGCAGCCGCAATTGTCAGCGCCGGGAGATGTGCTGAGGGTTCTTGCCATGCCGAACTGGTGCTATCGACCGCGACGGGGAGGAGGCCTGGGACTGCGCAGCGGCGATCAGGATCATAAGTTTCAAGCGCCCGAGTTTGAGAGGACTATCTACTTGCTGCCTCGAGCGATATGCACGGTTGGGAGGGCGCCAGCCGTTTGGCACCGGGCGCTTGCCGACTCGACAAGAACAATGACAAGTTCTGCGCAGCAGGTGAGCGATCCATCATGGTGTTCTGTTGCCCGGACAGGTCTTCTACAGATTTCTGATGCTTCCCAATCTAGACATCCCTTACTGGGCTCATGGGGGCATTTTCCATCGACGGAAGGGGGGTGCCTAAGAATAGATCAGCACGGCTACGACGCGCAGGCGAAGTACATATTGCGCGCTATCATGATGCCAGCAGTGCCTTTTAGTGCGTGCGCAAGGATATAGTGGAACGTGCGATTGCAGAACTGGCGCAGGAGGGCAGGGCTTTTTCCATAAGAGAGTTTACAACAGTACATTTGTCGTGACAGATGGACAGAAGAGGGCAGGTGTCCAGGCCGCGAAGTTCAATCTTGATTTTCATAGAGGGCGACTCAGGCTGGAGGGAACGACGGCGTCGACTGCCAGGTATCTCGGGGGGCGACACATCTCAAACAGGTGTTTTCGGCGGAGAAACAGGTCCGCTTTCAAGCTGTGAAAACTGCGCGGCGCAAGATGGGGAAGTCGTGGGCGACGTCGCAGGTTTTTTCTCAGGTTCAAGGGGGTCGTCTTCCTGGGAGTCGTAGTGAACGCGGCCCTGTCCGGCCGGGAGTGGCATGCCTTCGCCGCGACGAACCAGGTCCCCTGGCAGAGTTTGGAGCCGCTGCAGCAGATTGCGTTTAAAGTTGCTCGTGTCGTCCTACGAGGGCAACGCGCGAAATTGAGAGAAGATAAAGTACGTAACCCAGTAACATCGAGGTCCTGAGGTCCAGAGGTTGTTGAAGATCGCCAGTCTTTTCGTTGAGTTCTGGATCCGCCGACCGATGTGGCCACAGGACGTCGCAGCCCACCAGCGCGATCATCGACAGGTCATTGCTGCTCTGATTGGACAGGCGCAGCGTGAGGCCACCAATCTAGAGGCGTCAAGTGTAGGCGAAGTTCCCCCCTCGGCTCTGGCGTGGACCAAACAGTTTTAGTTGGACGTGCAAGCATTGTTTGAGCTAGGGGCAGGGGAAGAGCTAGAGACTGAACTTGAGGGCAAGTTCCCAAAGCTCTGTTCGGGTGAAGCTCGAGATGTTTTCCGGAAAATCGATGCCGCGCAACTTCGCTCTGGGGAGTTGCCTGTCGCACCCGCCTCCTGCCCTCGCCGCGGAGTTCGAGGCTGAAATGCCAGGCCCCCCCCCGGACGGGCGGGCGCGTGTTCCGCGGTTGCCCAGTTTGCGGTGCCAGTTTCCAAAGTGACAAGGCCTTTATTGCACGCGTGAATAGGGTGCGTGCGAGAGTAGGCAGATAACGAGGTCCCCTGATTGCCCCTGTGCGAATCCATTGATAGAGTGCCCCTTGCAATTACCCTGTCGAATTACAGAAGCAACTTCGCAGAAAGAGCAACGGCGCAGGGTCATTCGCCAGCTGTGATCAGACGCAAACGACGCATGATAGGTTTGAGTGCACGCCATCCGAAACGTGTCGGGCACAAATGCACGCAATGCGCGCTTTGTAGCTATGTTGCCAGTTCGCTCGAGCAGCTCGACGACCATTTCAGGCCCCACTTGCTGCCGTATCTGGCAGACCACGTTCTCTCGCTGGATGTCCAAGTGGCCGAGCAGCGATCAACAGATAGAGGAGACGGCGGCAGACATGGGGGAGCATATTCGAAAGAGCGACAGGACGGAGAAATCGGAGACGGAGGGGCACGAGAAGAAGCTATTGCTCCAGCTCGAAGCGCGGGCGAGAGAGAGAGAGAGAGAGAGAGAGAACACATATATATATATAAGCCGACGACGTGCACTTCAGGCCCCCCGCGGGCCACCCTTTTATACATATATATATATATATATGTATATACACATAACATTACCATGGAAGAGGCGACCACTCGCTGCGACACACAGGTCAAACAACAAGGCAGCGGGCGCGAACTCAGCAGCTCCCACCTGCACTCCTTCGCCAGTCTTCTCCAGTCCTTGGCCCAAGCCAACGTGGAAGTCATGCCAGGAGAGATCGTTCTG